GAGGGATCGGCTGCGCTCGAGCCTGCCACTAAACCCTAAGCCCCCAAAACCCCAAAACCCTGAAAGCCCTTGGGAAGTGGAAACTTGGCCTGGCCCTCCACGGGAATGAAGCCCCTCGGCATGGCACCTCTCCAGCAAAGGACATGATTCCTGCAAAACCCTAACCCTAAAGGGGTTAGGGTGTAGGGCTTAGGGCCTGGTAGTTTCCATTTTCTTGTCCATTATCCCGATATAACCGCAATATATACCCCAACATTAATGTAAGGTTTGGGGTCAACTTTGTCCACACCTTTTAAAGCGGCCAGCCGGTCTGTCCCAGGCCCGTGTCTTGACCCCCTTACTGCCTGAGCTCGATGTTCATACGACGGTTGCTGTTATTTCAAGTTGTACTACTTAATGGCGATGTATTAGGAAAGAAGGGAATCTGATCCCTATATAGCCCCTATATGATATATTCCCTTACTCCCTACCACCCACCAGTAAGATTGTTTGTTGATCCCAAAACTTGGGCTAGCGATTATGCCAGGCCTACTCTGGAAATGCATGTCTCCGTTCCCCACCAGCAAGATGAGGAAATATTGGGATAATGGACAAGAAAGTGGAAACTACTATCATATAATAGAACATATATTGGGGTTATGTTGGTATAATGGCAAAGAAAGGGGAAGCTACTAGGTTTAGGGGTTTAGGCTTTTGGGTTAAGAGCCTTTTAAGGGCCTTAATACTAGGATCCCGATTATAATCCCTATGAGAGGGAGGGGCTTATTGATCAGGGCTCTACATTAAGGAGGAGTATTGTTCCTCTCGTCGGCTTGTAGTAGAATACAACCCCCCCTCCATTCTAGTTTGGCCCTACATTGCTGATGCACTAGAACCCTTTCCGGGCCACATAAAGGCTATGTCGGGAATCTGCAGGCCTTTATAAGTTATAGTCCCCCTTAAGCAGATAGAATATGGGGTATGGGCATCTTACTATAATATACCCAAAGCCAACGGGGGACTATATAAGGTTGAGTTCTCTCAACATGTCCGTTTCGACAGGTCTCCAGCAGCTACGTAAGAGAACACTGTTTCTTTGCACTGTTGAAAAGTTCCAGACCGCGTAGACGTCTCTAGTTTGTGAGGGGACTTGCTGTTGCAAGGGAATCCTCGAATGTTTGAGTATGTAAACTGGAGAATCTTTTCCGAGTTGGGTCTAGGGAATGAACTCACAGATCAGCAAAAACTTTGCCTGCTGGCGCCGTAGCTGGAGGAGCTCCAGGTCTGAGCCAGGGCAATTTGGGGATGGGGCAGAATGTGGAAGCCGTCTCGTAACCCGAGCTCCTGCCTCCTCCCTATGCAAGCAAGCATGCAATTGTGCGATGCATGCTTTGCATACAGAATAAAGGGGTTCACAATGCAAGGTGCGCATGTATACCACAAGCGACGAAAATGGCAGACACTCCACCCTAAACTCCTTGAGTCATAGAAACGAGCAGTGTGACCAGAAACTTTAGGTTAAGTTCTTCCGCAGCATGGCCCACCTCGCGTGCCCGGACGTATCCTGCTTTGGAAAGGCCACAGGGCTAGGAGTAGCACATCAGAAAATGGCATACAAAAAGCTAAGAAGACCACAAGGTGTGGAAAGCTGCAATCTGACATTCAACCTAATATCCAACATGCCCCAAACCCCACAGCCAAGTCTTCAATCCCAAGCATACGCACCAGAAGGGCCTTAAAATCTTACGCTCTCACCCTGGACAGCGCTCCTCCGGTCGCCCAGTTGTCTTGCCCATGACAGGCGCCTGAGAGCTGGAGGCCTCTCAGTTCTACCAGTACGGACATGTGGAGTTCACAGAACTTGTGGAACTTGAGGTAATTTGACAGAGAAGGGGCACACAAAGCGCGCCTGTAGTCTACCCTAAAATGCTGGAACTCCTGACATTGAGTCAAGAAAGTGGTCAGGCCTGCGAGGGAGACTGCCTCGGGTGCCAGCCTGAAGGCTCCGGTCTCCTTGCCTCGCAGGCCGTCGGCCAAGCAGGCTCCGCCGGCTCAGTGCCGGGCCAGACACCTGCAAGCTCTGAACGATTTAGCTCGGTATAACGCCTATGACGCCTCCGCAAAGCGCGCCTGGAGATGGACCTGGTGGAGGAATTGCTGGAGCCGGCAGTGGAGGAGGCTCTGCTGGCTCGGGCCTCGCGGTTGCCGCCGGTGGCCTCTGTCGCGCCTCCCAGTCCCATGGCTGGGACGGGCCTGGTTGGGACGGCCTATGCCATTTCGTGTGCGGCGACAGTGTCGGGGAAGACGATGGTTCGGTGCCAACCTCTTGCCATGGCATCCGCGATGGAAGGGACTGGTGCCTGGGATCTTGCTGGCCATGCTGGCCATGCTGGCCATGTTGGCCATTCAAGGCGGGATTTTCACCGGTCGACCGGTGGCAATGCCTAGCAGTTTGAGCTTCAGGTGCTGATGCTGCCGCCCGCGCCTGGCTCTCGGCCATGTTAACACCTTGCTGCCAAGGCGGCGGCTGCCTTGCAAAGGAAGTATGATGTGCTGAGCACGGCCGTCGCGGCTGCGATGGAGTTGGAAATTGTCTGGGGTCTGTTCCAGACCCCGGCACTCCAGACTGGGCAGAGGCAACTTGCGCAGGTTCCGCCTGTGGCATGCGAGACCCCCTTTGCTTGTGCAATTCCTTGGCTCTCGTGAGGTTACCAAGAAATCAGCACATCCCGAACACAACAAGCTCATAGAAGGGAAAAATGCAAAGGCTTCTCGATCCACCAGGGAGCCTGCTGCAAGAATGCATCCCATTCATCTTGTGGACAGGCAGCAGTGCTAGGAGCAGCGATGGGAGCAGCATTTGGAGTCGCGGGTGCCTGCAACCACAGAGGCAAGCGCGGTGATGGGATGCTGTCAAGAATAGCAAGACCTACACTTCGCGGTTGGGCCTGCTGTTTTAGCAGAGCTTCCCACTCCCGGTCTGCTGCGCTGCGCGGTGTCTGCGCGGGTTGCCGGCCCTGTGCACATGACGGGAGAGTGGCATGAGGTGGCAAGTCAGGATAAGCAGCAGGACGTCGCAGGTGTCACAACCAATTTACATCAAATGATCTGCTTGATGCCTGCTGTTGAAGCATGGCAGCCCATTCTTGGTCGGCTGCGCTGGACGGGCGACCCGAGTTGCAGCCCGATGCCGGTCTCCGCATGGAGCGTTGGGACTGCGCCTGCGCATGCAAGCATGAGCCATGTCCAATCGAAGCGCTTGCATGCAAGATCTGCCGGATGTGATAGAGCCTGCTGCTGCAGAAAGGCTTCCCATTCCTGATCTGCGGTGCTGGACGAATCAGCGCCCGGTCCATGCTTTGGTGCAGATCGCTGAGTTTGCGCCTGCATGTTCCGTCACACAGTGAAAATGCTTTGTGACCGTCCTTAAATCACTGTCTGTCATCCCGTCGCCTCACGGAAGAGACAACAAAGTAGACAGTTCCCAGAGAAAATGAATGCACACTATGTTACATGAGCTACAGTCCAAACTCCACCCTTATAATGCTCCCCGAAAAAAATCTTTGCTTCCATCCACACCCTAAAGCCGTTATTGCATAACAAGTGTAACCCAACTGTCTTCCTTGCAGCACTG